TCAAAGGACTGAGCAAAAAGGAGTGTGCGTCCTGCAGTAGTTCCTTTACTTAACATCCTTTTAGCCTTTCTCTACATGTACAAACCAAGTCTTGCTATTTCCTTCTCCTCTGCTGGGGCCACAGTTCAAGTTATAGCCTGTGTTCCTGTGGGTAGAGTCCAGGGATAGGTGATGATAGGAAAGAGGTGTTCCAATGGTTGAGCCAATGGAAAGTAAAACTAGTTACAGCCACCACAGCAGACATTTCTCCTATGCGCCTAATGCTGAAGGATGCTAGTAAGGACCACATATGACTGTGCAGGCTGCTGGTCACGCAGAGTGGGTGCCCTAACCCTTGCTGAGCTCCTGTAGGCCAGACTGGCATCTCCCACATCATGACCCTGCCTCCATCATTGCAGGCCTTGACATTTTTTATTCCCTCACCTCTAAAATGATCAGTGATCTAGCTCCAGGGACCCACTCAGCTTACAAAGTGGATTCTGTACAGTTAAAAAAGAAACACTATCCCTCCCCCCAGAGGTAGAGAAGAGGAAGAGGGGAGGGGACTCCTATAGAAGGGTTATTTTTTCAGTACACTGAGTGATATCATTCTGCAGAGTTAGGGAAGCATCACCCACCCCCTCGGGAGAGGCTGTGCCCCACAGCAGTCCCTACACTTATTCTCTGGCAGGCTGCTGCCTGCACCTTCCACACTTTGCATTTGTCTTCTGCACACCTAGTAGGAAGAGCCTAGAACATGACTTTGGAGTTTGTCAGATGAGAGGTTAACAGTCCATTTACCACTTACTAGCTGAGTAACTTTAGATAGGTCAAGTTAGCTCTCTCAGCCTCAGTTTCTTTCTGTATACTCTACCTACACCTTTGGTAAGGAATGTAAAGCTGCCAGCATTGCGAGGTGATTAGGACCCAGCACTGCTGTCTTGCATCTTTCTTGTAAGACCAGGACAGGCCCTGTGTCACTTCCCCAACCAAGCCCAGCAGAGGGTGCCCAGGAATGCTTATTATGCCCAGAGCCCAGTGACCTTGAGACCCACTTCTTGCCACCCTCTTCTCATGAATTCTCAAAAGCAGGCAGGCGACTTGGCACCTGTAGCTCAGTGGTTAGGGCGCTGGCCACATATTCCTGGGGCTGGCAGATTCGAACCCGGCCCCGGCCTACTAAACAACAATGACAACTACACCAAAAAAAGGCAAGTGCTGTGGCAGGCACCTGTAGTCCCAGCTACTTGGGAGGCTGAGGCAAGAGAATCACTTAGCCCAAGAGTTTGAGGTTGCTGTGAGCTGAAACACCACAGCACTCTGCTAGGGTGACAAAGTGAGACTCTGTCTCAAAAAAGAAAAAAAAGCAGGCAGGCTGTGGCCAAGAACACAGGCTCAGGAGCCAGCCTCCAGGGTGCCATCGTGGCTCTGCCACTTCTATGTGAACTTTCTTCTCATTTGCAGAGTGGGGAGCAGTAGAAACATCTGTTGCATGGTTGTGAGGACTGAACAAGTTAGGACAGGGAAAGGCTTGAGCCCAGAACCTGAGTAAACAGTACTCACTGCTCTCTGTCCACCTCTGCTACCGGAAGCTCTCCCACCCCTTGTCCCCTCTTCTCAGGGACTAGACCCAAACCAGGCCAGACCTAAAGACTAAGTATATGTTATAGATTTCATTTAGAAGTATGAATTTTAGTATTTTTTAATGCTAAGAAAATCTCAATTATCTGAAATACTTGTTCAATGAACTACTTTACTTTATTATCTTTCTCATAATTAGGTCACTGAGAACTCAGAACAGGGCCTTGCATATAATGAGCTCTCAGTAAATGTTAATATGGTAGAAGGTAAAATAGAAAGTCCCTTTTTTACCTGTAAACCTTCCTGTGAAGAGGTTTCTGAGTAAAGAGAGTATGGTAACTTTGAACTTTTTCTTGCTCTTTGAAGATCTGTAGTACTAAGTAGTTGCCACACAAACTAATCCCACAAAATGGAGTTCTGGCCAGTTTAGGAGTTGGGAGGACCCTACACTGTACCTGGGAAACACTCTGGCAACTGTTTGCTTTTATTTTCTGCCACAGCCTTTTGTTTTGTTACCACTTACCTCTTGTTCCTCAAAGCTGCGTACAATCCCTGTCCTGTTGCCTGGGGTCTGTTTAATGAAGAGTTTGTCTCCAGCTGGATCTGGTTTTCCTGGTTGTCAGTTTCCAGCTCAGCATTAGTGTCACCTCAGAGCTAGGGAAGGTTTATGAGTGAATATTAGGGTTACAGTAGGAGTTCTGATATGACTGTGGTTATGCTTTCTTGAATGCTCACTCCGTCTTAGAGGTTTGAGGTTGGTTCAGATCAGGTCCTCTCAATTAGGTATCATCATCAGGTAGAAAGTCTGGGAAGGTGGCCACCTCTCCTTCCCTTTGCCATGAGCAGACACTAGATTTATCCCAGAATTAACTACAGAAACTGTGTGGTGACCTCTGGATTTGGGAGTGACTAGGGAGCTGGCCTCAGACCTGGAGTGATACCCAGGCATCCCTCTTGCCCAGCAAGGGACCCTCCAGTCTGGCTTTGGGCTCTGAGGAGCTTAAGGCCTTCAGTGACTTCTTGGGACAGTTTATGTCACCATGCACAGGCTCTGGGAGGCTTCTGAGGCCAACAATTACTACATTTCTGTGAGGTAATTCCAGATTGGTGGGGGAAAGGCCAGCTCGTTCAAGAAATGAACATTTTGGCTGCCTAAAAAAAAAATAAGGCTAGATCCTCACTCTTAAACCTTATATCAAAATCAATTATAGATGAATTAAAGATTTAATTATAAAAAATGAAACTGTAAAATTATAGGAAAAATATGTAGAAGAATTTTAAAAATAATCTTAGAGAGGGAAGATCTTTAACCATGGAAATAATTCCTATACATCCACACAAAAAAGACCAACAGCTCCATAGAAAAACATTTGAAGAGTATAAACAAGTGATTCCTGGGAAAGCTCTCAGTGCCTTCCCGTGTGTGCAGTGGGACAGACGAGCGAACAATCTTAGGGCTGAATCTAGATCTTCAAGTACTTGAGTGTGTGACCTTGCCAAGTGTCTGACGCTCTCTAGGCCTCAGCTTCCAAAACTGTACGGTGTGGAAAGCAGTGGTCCCCATTATTAAATGGCATGACATGTGCACAGCACATAGGACAGGGTAGTGCTGTGTAAGCAAGTGCTTGATAATAAAACATAATGAGGTGCTCAGCTTCACCTCTGGATGAGATGATCTCACTCTGATAAGAAGTGTGCAGGTTAAATCCAGGATTACAACTGGCTTGCACTTTGTAAACTGAGCACATTGGGAGGCTGAGACAGAAGGATTCCTCAAGGCCAGAAGCTTGAGACCAGCCTAGGCAACATAGCAAGACCCCATTTCTACCAAAAAAAAAAAAGAAAAAATTAGCCAGGTGTGGTGTTGTACACCTGTAGTCCCAGCAGCTCAGGAAGCTGAGGCAGGAGAATCACTTGACCAGGAGTTTGAAGGTACAGTGAACTATGATGATGCCACCTCACTCTAGACCAGGCAATAGTGAGACCCTTTCTCAAAAAAAGAAAAGAAAAAATGTGCAGGTTGAAACCACAGTCATAGACTACTCTGCACTATTGGCAGCAGTGTGGGGATCTATTCCTGACATCACTGAGAGAAGCAGAAACATCTGTCAGAGTGTTAAATGTGCACAGCCTGTTAGGGAGCAGCCTGGAAATGATGCACATCTGGGCTGGGATTTTCCTGCAGCACCATTTGCAATAGCAGAAGTTGGAACCCAGTGTCCTTCAATAGGGGACTGGTTAAATAAATTATAGTATACCCTAATCTAGATGAGTATGCAGCTCATAAAAAAAGAGGCAGGCCTACAGATACTGGTGTGGAACAATCTCTGTATATGTTAAGTGATAAGAACAAGGTGTCAGACAGTGTGTAGGGAATTACATTTATATGGAAATGAAATGTACAGGCCTTGTGTGCTCAGCTGGGCTCTGGGCGGTCTCCAGGAAGTGGCAGCAGTCACCTCTTGGAGGAGCTCTGTGGCTGAAGGATGAGGCAAAATCTGAATTTTGTGTCATAGTAGGCCATATTGTATATTTCTACATTTAATCTGAAAATACCCATCTCGTTAGCAGCTTAAGTCCCTTTTTTTAAAAAAGATGAAAAAATGCAAGTACCTATCTCATATGTAAGTTATGAGACATCCACCTAGGTACTAGGAGATGAGTAAAAAGTAGGCTGCCTGTGTTCATATCTCAGCTCTAACCTAGATATGTAACCTCAGGAAATTTCTGACCTTAGCATGCCTCAGTTTCCTTGTCTGTAAAAGAAGGATTAAAAGACACCGTGACTCACAGGGTTGTGGGTGTGAAGTGAGATAATCTGTGTAAATCTCTTGGACCCTAGCATGTAGTAAGCACTTGGTGAATACCAGCAGCATCCCTGTCATGCCCAGCGCTGCTTTGTTGGGGCAGTGGAGGTCAGTGAGGACTGCCCAAGTTGGGCTCAGCTCTAACTCACCTCCTCTCCAGGCCAGGGAAGCTATTTTCCAACAGAATCTCCCCTTTGAGGCTTCTTTCCTTGAGATGAGGGTGAAGTTGGCTCATTGGGGACCTGCCTCTGTCACCAGCTAAGGTGGTTGTTACAGCCTTGGAATTAGAGAATCTTATCTTTGAGGAGCTTTAGGGTTAATCACTAACAAGTTCTTCATTTTGGGTGGTCATGGAACCAGTTCTCTAGAAAGAGGCATGTATACTCTGGTGGGCTGAGGCTTGTGTTCCGGCCCTGGGTTTGCAGTGCCCCTAGCCCTGTCTGTTCTGGCTGGATCAGCACCTGTACCCATTCTGGAGCCCCTGCCCAGCCCAGCTTCCCTGGGAGCCACTGGGGTGGGAGTGGGTAGCTTGGGCTGATTTGTTTCCACACCCTCTTGAGGCTTGTGGTGAAGAGGAAGAATTTGGTGTAGGGCCCTGGAAGGCCAACTTGATGTCCTCCTTTTTGTTCTCAGGGGTCTAATGTGATGGAAGAGCAGGACCTGCGGGAGATTGGCATCAGTGACCCACAGCACCGCCGGAAGCTGCTGCAGGCTGCACGGTCCCTGCCTAAGGTGACTAAAACAGCACTGTAGCCTTGGCCTGTGCCAGAGCCAGGGCCAGGGCCAGGGCCCTTACCCAGCATCACCTGGACTGAGAACAGAGAAGGGGCTTGGCTCAGGCACATGCTGGTCATGGCAGAGTGTCTGCTCCTCATCCTAGCAGCCCCAGCAGGGCTGGCACACAGCCCTATTTTCTTCCTTGCTAACTCCTAAGGCCTCTGGCCTCACTTGGGCCAGTGGACACTTTGTCAAGGCTTACAAGGAGAGTTCCAGGGGTCTGTCTGGCTCACAACCTAGTTCTCACAGGCAGGCAGATCTCTCCTGACTCCCTCAAGCCCAGGCCCACCTGTACTGCCTCCTGGCATGAGGCCCCTCCAGGTTTTCCCCTGGGGAGTCAGGAGCTGGTAGTGTGACAAGTGTCCCCTGTCCCTTTACTTGCCCAGAGCTTAGGAAGTTACCTGGGCTCATAGGCACACACTATTTTCTTGTCCCTCTAGGCCTGTGACCTCATCAGAGCACAGGGTGGAGGCATTCCATAAGACTGTACTCCCCACCTAGCCTTACCTGCTAGGGCCATTGTCCCCAACCTGGACTGCTCTAAAAGCTCCCACTTCCCAGACGGGGAAGCTGAGACCAGAGCAGTGATAGAAAGGGGTGTACTCTCAGCTACTTGGGAGGCTGAGGCAAGAGAATTGCTTAAGCCCAAGAGTTTGAGGTTGCTGTGAGCTGTGACGCCATGGCACTCTACCAAGGGCGACATAATGAAACACTGTCTCAAAAAAAAGAAAGAAAGAAAGAAAGGAGTGTACAAAGGGAGGGACTGTAAGGTGCTAAGCATCTCATCCTGTGGGTTCTGAGATGTCAGTCCCACCTCCCTCCTTGCCCCACAGGTAAAGCCACTAGGCTATGACGGGAACAGTCCCCCTTCAGTGCCCTCCTGGCTGGACTCACTGGGGCTGCAGGACTACGTCCATTCCTTCCTTTCGAGTGGCTACAGCTCCATCGACACTGTGAAAAACCTCTGGGAGCTGGAGCTTGTCAATGTGAGTTGACAAGTGACCTGGCCTGGCCCATCAGGGACTGGAGGGAGGTGTGGGCCCAGTTGGCAATCTGACTTCTCTGCCCTCCTTCCTTCTTCCCTGCCCAGGTCCTCAAGGTCCATCTGCTGGGCCATCGCAAGCGCATCATCGCCTCCCTGGCAGACAGGCCATATGAGGAACCGCCTCAGAAGCCCCCGAGGTTTTCCCAGCTAAGAGTGAGTTGAGGAAGGACAAAAAGGAATATATGTTCTTTGTATTTTTAGGAATTAAATAGAATTCTTTAGGATTCTTCAGAGATAGTATGACGTCTGTAGTCTAGGAGAAAACAATCCCTCCCCTCTTGTTTTTGGGGCCACATCTATCCTTAGGCCCAGGTCAAAAGAGGAGCACGGGTGATTATTATTTTTTTTTAAACAGAGTCTCACTTTGTTGTCCTCAGTAGAGTGCTGTGGCATCACACAGCTCACAGAAACCTCCAATTCCTGGACTTAGGCGATTCTCTTGCCTCAGCCTCCTGAGTATCTGGGACTACAGGCACCCACCACAATGCCTGGCTATTTTTTTGTTGCAATTTGGCCGGGGCCGGGTTTAAACCCACCACCCTTGGTATATGGGGCCAGCGCCCTACCCACTGAGCCATAGGTACTGCCCCACAGGTGAGTTTTTCAAATGGTTATTTATACATTATTTGCTACCCATTTACATTCAAAGAAGCTTGAGATCCAATTTAAGTAGCAAATAACATATTAGGGAAAGTAGGAAAACAAATACACAGATACCAGCTTATCTAGGGCTGTGTCTGAGTGTTAGGCTCAGCTCTGCACCTGGGGCAGAGCCAGTAGGCAGGGGGCCCAGTAGTTTGAGGTATCCCCTCTTCTGGGCAGTCTGGCATCAACCTGAAGCAATGCTTGCAAAACATGGTAGGGACTCACAGAATCTTTAGAATTAGAATTCCTAACGTCAGTAGCTAAGAGAATCTGTATTTTAAAAACCTCACAGATTAGGGGGTGAAGGGGACCTCACAGATGATCTGTTACTCAAGCTATGTAGTCCCTGACTGCAAAAGTGAGTGAGAGCCCACAGTTCAAGGAGAGCGCTCCCCCATACCTGTGAGGGAAGCAACAAGAACAACTGCTCCTCTTGAGCCCATGTGACACATGGAGCTGCTGCTTGCGTCCCATTTAGTTCTCCAGCAGCTTCAGAAAGTGTGCACTATTTTTATCCTTTTACAGATGGGAGAGCTGAGGCCTAGTCTTGTTCTGGGAACACACAGCTGATGTTTAAGTATGAAAACTGAGGAGCCTGATTAGCATTCCCTGTGGGATTGTGGCCTCAGGGTGCCAACTGGCAGGACTAAGCTTTTTCTCAAGAAAGCCTTTGGATTTGGTCACATGCAGAGGCCTGAAGTAGATTGTGGCAGATAATTTTAATCTTTGCAAAATGTAAAAACAATCCCCCTGCTTGATAACTGTTCTTTCTCCTGCAAGGCTCTAGGCCGCGGGTGAGGGCACTAAGAGATGGGGTGCTCATGGGAGCTGCTTCTTTGCAGGATGAGGTCTCAGGGATTCCTGGGCTCCAGGAAGGATTTGGCTTCTTTGACTATAGCTGGGCTGGGCCCTGGCTGCCCACTTTCCCATAGGCTTCTGGCCCAACATGCCACTGGCCTCATGCCTCTGTGATGTTAGCTCCTTACTTCCTGCTGCTTCTATGCCACTGCCTAGGAGCGGCTGACACCTATAGCTGAGGGACAGGGCTGATGGGTTGTGAATTCTACCAGGATTTCTCTCCCTACAGTGCCAAGACTTGCTCTCCCAGACATCATCCCCCCTGAGCCAGAATGATTCCTGCACTGCACGGTCAGCAGACCTGCTGCTGCCTCTTGGGGACACTGGTAGGAGGCGCCATGACAGTTTTCATGACCCTGCAGCACCCTCTCGAGTGGAGCGCTTCAGGATCCAGGTGGGGCAGGAGGAGCTGCGGCCGGGTCCACCTCATTCCTCTAGGCAGGACAGGGCTAGAGCACTGTTGGGCTGCCACCATGTTGGGAGACAGACACCAGCCCACTCTACCGGTCCCCCACCCAGCTGCTGTGTGTGAGGCCCCAAGCCTCCCGGAGCTTGGACACGCATACACATACACTTCAGCTGTCAACTCCAGCATTGTGGGTGGCCTGGACTGCCCTCCCTTAGAAGTTTCCTCTTTGACTATAGCTCCCCCGTCCACTCCTGAAGGTCCCTGCTGGTCCCTCAGCCCTCAGTTCTCTCCTACCCTCCTTACTCTGGTTGTTCCCCAGAGCTGTCTTCTCTCCAGCCACCCTGACCTGCAACCTTCTCTTCTGCCTACACAGCCAAACTGCAGTCCAGGCCAGACTCTGTTCTTCCTTTTTCTTATCTGGAGCTCCTGGGTGCAGCTGGAGACTCCAGTGCTCTGTGGCCCAAGGCTGACCCCACCTCCTATTCCTAGTTCACCTTCTCAGGGCATCACTTTCAGGGATCCTGGATTTACTCAGGATCCCTGTCCTGCCTCCTGACTTACACAGACCCTGCTTTGTGCCTTGTCCCCATCTTGGTCTGTCAGACACAGGGTTGGCAGGCATCCATCATCCCCCTCAGAGTGAACCTCAGCTTCACTTCTTCATGTTTCTCTAACTCACACTTCTCATTTCTAGCCTCTGGGGACTTCCTTTACCTTTCCACAGCACAGCTATGAATTTTAAAAGATTTAAGAAACCTATTGTCCCAAAGTTTTAGTTGCTCTGTGTTGAGAGATAAGTGAAGACCCAGCATCTCTCGCCTGCATTGCATCCCCAGCCCCTATCAAAAGGAACCATTAACATGCAAACCTTAGCCAGGATGTGTCACTGACTTTCCCACTGTGAGGACTCCAGGACCTTGACTAGATGGCTTCCGGGGCTATGGCTCCTGTTTCTCTCTCCTTATGATTCTTTCCCTTCTCCTTGGAGCTTTATCTCAGACCCCACAGAGCCCTCTCTGACTAAGCCACCTCTTGGGTGGGGCCCTGCTTCTCTGCTTTTTCTGTGGCGTCAGTAGCCTCTCCCCTCCACTGCAGTACATTTGAATTGCTTGTCTGCCCTCTGCTCTCTCCACCATTGAACTCATTGAAGTTGCTGGCTTCTTCACCCTTGGATGCTAGACCCAGACAGTGAGCCTGTGAACTCCCTTTTAAGGCAAGCAAGCAACGCCCAACTGCCTTTGTTCTGCAGGAAGAGCACCACGAGGCCAAGCTGACCCTTCGGCCCCCCAGCCTAGCCGCCCCCTATGCCCCTGTGCAGAGTTGGCAACACCAACCAGAGAAACTCATCTTCGAGTCCTGTGGTTATGAAGCCAATGTGAGTCACTCCTGCCCTCCCAGCACAGCCAGCCTTCCTTAATGCCTCGCCTTCCCACTGGGCCCCTATAGTCCTGAGTCCCAGCAGACTCTCAGACCCTCTGCAATGCCAGGTTTAGGGCTCCGATGCCATTCTCTGCTCTTTAGCCATTTTCAACAGCTAAGAGAATGAGGTGGAGTCCTCTGGATAGGTTTAGTAAAAGGGGAAAATGAAGAGAGTTGTCACTGGGGAGAGATAACCAGCTGATGAGAAGGTAGTCCCAAATTGGTCAGGTCACCCCTGCATAATGATGCAAGACTTCCTAAGCATGATCACTGCTTGTTCCCACAGTATCTGGGCTCCATGCTGATCAAAGATCTGCGAGGGACGGAGTCCACACAGGATGCCTGTGCCAAGATGCGGGTATGTTGGCTGCGTGGGTGGGTAGAGCGTGCTGGGGGTGTGGCTAGCACAGAAAGCAGCACACTACTGCAATAGAGGAGGGAGGCCAGGGCTGTGCACTCTCAGAAGGCTTAGCCCTGAAAAGGGACATTCAAGGGCCACCCCTTGTTTCCTATAGAAGTCGACTGAGCACATGAAGAAGACCCCCACCATCATCCTCTCCATCACATATAAAGGCGTAAAGTTCATCGATGCCTCCAACAAGGTGTGTTTCTCACAGAGACTACTGGCAAGAGAGGGACCCCTCTCCTTGTCAGAGCCACAGGGCTCCAGGGCTAGCAGCCTGGATGCCCTTTTTTATTCCTATCTCCCTAGAGGGTCCCCAGCCCCCCTTTTATTACTTCCCATTTCTATCGCCTCTCCCAGGTGCTTGTCTGTCATCTGCTCACAGCATCTCCATCCCGTTACAGTGGCTGTTACCTTCCTCACTGTGGGCTCCAATGGCCTCCTGGTCTATAATCAGGCCTTCAGTGAGGAAAGGATTTCCCCTAGGCACACTGCCTGGGACCCTACCTTCCTGAGGCTCTTCCTACCCTGCCCCACCCTAGAGGAAAGGTGGGAGGAGCTGGAGGTGAACATTTCACTGCCTCAGTTGCCCTGGTCAAGGGTGGAGACCCAAACTTAAATTGGGCAAGGTTACTTACCCCACCAAAAAAAAAAAAATGAGAAGAGGAAGTGTGAGGTCTGGCTAATGCTATAGGCCAGCAGTTCTCAACCTGTGGGTTGCAGTCCACAGGAACTGTATTAAAGGGCCGCAGCATTAGGAAAGTTGAGAACACTGCTGTAGGCTGAGACAAAGAAAGGCAGTGACCCTAAATGGGAGGGCAGGTGGTGCTAGAGGCGTGCGTGAGTGAGCTGGGATTCCAGAACACTGTTTTCTCCAGCAGAATGTCATTGCTGAGCATGAGATCCGGAACATTTCCTGTGCGGCCCAGGACCCAGAGGACCTCTGCACCTTTGCCTACATCACCAAGGACCTGCAGACCAGTCATCACTATTGCCATGTGTTCAGCACGGTGGATGTGGTAGGTGGGGGCAGGGGCAGGTGGGGCACAGATTCAGTCTCAGCACCTTCAGGTGCTTGGCAACCATTAAGTTTGTGAATGAAGCCCAGCAGCTGCCAGGGTAGTTAGTCCCTTACACAGTAATAAGACTGAAGCACAGAGGGGAGCAAGTGGTTGGTCCAGGTGCTAGTGACAGGAGTTTTAGTTTTTATTCTTAGTTACTTGTTATGTTAGAGATGAGGTCTCACAGTGTTAAACTGCTGGGCTTAGGTGATCCTCCAGCCTCAGCCTCCCAAGTAGCTGGGACTACAGGCACCCACCACCACACCAGATTTCCAACTTTTGAGTTAAAGTTTCTTTGGTTAAGCAAGGCCTTGGTCCCCAGGGCTTTCTGTTTGTCAAGCCACTGGACCAGTTCCCCAAACCTTCAGTGGGGAAGTTTCCCTGAAATGCCTTCTATGTGCCTCCAAAGGGCAGCAGTACCCTCTGTGGCAGTAGGTTTTCTTACCTCAGGTTTCTGCTTAAGCTAGACCCTGGGTGCCTCTGGGCTGAGGAAAAGTTCATGCTCACTCAGCTGGCCACAAGGATAGCTCACATGGCAGAGATTCCTTCTGCCCTGAGACAAAGCCCAGTGGTGGCCCCATGCCATCTCACCCCACAAAGAAGCTGGGGTGTCCACATCCCTGCTGCCCTCAGAGAAAATAACTATTTCCAGAATTTCTGCAGCTCTTAGACCATAGCTCTGGGCATTCCTTATAATCCCAGGACCTTATACAGCTCAGTTCTTTACTTGCTCTGGGCCAGTGGTCTTAAGAGCCCAGGCTCTGGCATCAGATGTGCCTGGCTCTGTCACTTGTTAACTGTGTGATCTCAAAACGTCACTTCTACCTATTTCCTCATCTATACAACAGGGAATATAGTGTGACCACCCTTCCCAGGGCTGTTTTGAAGATTAAATGGGTAATCCTCAGAGCACCCAGAGTCCATGGCATGTGCTGGCTCCACACAGTTAGATCTGCTATGACACAGCCTACATGCTCCTAATGATCATCATGCTAGGTGAAGACCATTGGTTTATGGAGAAATGGGGTTAGGGATACAACACTCACAAACTGTCAGTCATATGTTAAAAATAAAAAAGAGGAACTTAATAAAAGCCCTAGTGCCATTTTATTCATATTAAGTGGTTGGGAAATACCTGAGCCCTACAGTAAGTATGGCCCACTTCCTGAGAAAGCCCTGCAGTTGGCTTCCAGAAGTGTGCACCTGCCCTATCACTACTCCACCCCAGCCACCATCCCATGTAGGAGGAGAATGAGGACCTAGAAAGGGAGAAAGGTCAGAGCAGGAAGAGCAACATTAAGTGGACTGATGGGACAGATGAAAGGCCACAGACTGTATGGCCAGGTGACATGGGGGGTTAAGGCTGGGACACTGCTGGGAGGTGGGGCAGCCTGCAGAAAACTGTGGTCCCATGTATAGGCTGGCGTGTATTGTCATGGGACTTACCTCAGCTGGTGGCAGTGTTTGCATTTACCTAGTGTTTCTGTCAGATGAAATCATGCATAAGGAGACCCAGTGTGTTATGCTCAAATTGTTCCTTACTGTATCAGTCATGTTGGAACAGATTTGTGTTTGTTACCTGTCCAGATGTTGTCTGTGCCGGGGCTCAGGGTGGGGGTGTAAGGACAAGAGAAGAAGAATGAAGCTGCTCCTAAATCTCAGATGCTTAAGTGCTGATCTGTTCCTCCCAGAATTTGACATACGAGATCATCCTGACATTGGGGCAGGCGTTTGAGGTGGCCTATCAGTTGGCCCTGCAGGCCCAGAAGTCCAGGCCGATGGGGGCGTCTGCAGTTGAGATGATTGAAACAAAATCTTCCAAACCGGTGCCTAAGCCTCGGGTCGGCATGAGGAAATCCGCAGTACGTGGGCCCGGGTCACCAAGATTCCCCATCTCCCTAGCCCTGGGATTTGATGCCATGGGGTGGAGGCCTCCAAGACAAGGAGGGTCTTCTCCCACTTCCAGGCAGCCAACCTTCAGGGGGAAAACCCTCTTAATTAGCTCCCCTACACCACCCAGATCTTCACCCTGGATGAGTGGCAGCTCCTGTGACCTGGGTGGGCAGTCACTTTCCTCTGGAGCTCCTGTTCCCTTCCCTTGAGGGCCCACCCCAGGAGGGCTGCAGAGAGCAGGCTGTAGGCCAGCTCCCAGTAACGGCATCATCCCTGTCTATGTCTGCTCTGCTTCGCACCCCAGGTGCCGCCGCCCCCTGATAGTCGCTGTTGTTACTGTCACACCTGCACCACCCACCGTCCTTCCTACCTACCGCTGCCGTCTGTTAGTCCTGGACTCAAGGTCTTTACACCTCTTGCTCTCTTGTGTGTCAGTCTCCTGAAGTGACCGTGAGCGTTCTCAAACTCTGGTGGCCTCTCCCTCTGCCTGTGTGACATTCTTTTCTCCTTTCCTGAAATATCCTTTACCCTGCCCTATGTGTGCTTTAGCCCTCTGTTTTGTTTTGTTTTTGTTTTTTTTGTCCTATGTCCTCTCTCCAGAGGACTGAGGTGACTGTTGTGGTCTTGCCTCAGGGTGAGCTCTCTGGCCCCACCAGAGGGACCTGAAGCTTGTAATGTCGAAGCCCTGTATTCCCATCTTGCCTTCCATGAATAGGTTTGGGGCTTAGAACAGAAGGTTCAGATAGGGCAGGGTTCTTTTAACTGAGTAGTCCCAAGAACTCCCTGGGTGGCCTCCCCAAGATTCTCTGGGGAGGGTGACACTCCTAAGTCCCCAGTGGCCCCTACTCTTTGGCTGAGTAGAGTAAGGCGCTACCGCTTACAGCATATGGGCTCCAGCCCAGCCCGGGGGTGGGAGGGGTATGCTGGGTCTTACTTCTTGGCCCTGGTGCAGAGGTGCCCCTGACTCTTACTATTTCCTCATTCGCCAGCTGGAACCCTCCGATATGGACCAAGACGCCCAGTCTCATGCCAGTGTCTCCTGGGTTGTGGACCCAAAACCAGACTCTAAGCGGAGCCTCAGCACCAAGTATGAGACCACTATCTTCTAAAACAACCCACACCCTGTCTCCACTAGTCTCACTGTGCCTTTGCCACCCAGTCTTTCTGCTGTCCTCAATTCTCTCCTTCCAGCTGCTGATGCCAAGGCCCCACCTTCACTGGGACCTGCTCTCCTCCTAGGCAGCAGCTCTAGACACTGCACTCACAGCTCTCGTACCTAATACCACCGAACACTGTGAATTCTCCCCCTTGGGCTGAGGACAGCTTAGGGGGGTGAGTTGCCTTTGAGGTGGGCACCAAGAAGGATAAGAGGGCTCAGTTGCACCCAGGAAGCCTCTGCGGCAGGCAGTGTGAATCCTGAGGGGGTAGGGAAGTCTTGGAGCAGAATCCATACAGCACCACTGGTAACTCTCTCTGAGTTGGGCTGGGCTCTCTTGGCTCCCTTCTCCTGTCTGCTGTACTGAGCCATAGCTGGCTGCTGCTGCCGAGAGCTGTTTTTACTTTTCCTGACAACAAACCACTGTGACCCCACCCCCCCGCAGCCCCACTCTGCCCTCCTCTGCTGCTCTAAGGTGCAGGCCTCACTCTCATGGTCAGGTTCTTGTGAGACCCTGAGCTCATGATGTGGCTTGACCGGGGACAGACTGCTTTCTGTGAGGGCCCAAGGTATGTGCCAGGCCCTTGGGCACATGTTGACACCAGAGCATGGGGCTCTAGGCATCTGAACGCCCACATGCTGGCTCCACTCAGCAGGTTTTTCAGTCCCAATGAGCCATCCATTCCAAGGAATGGGGTGACATATATGTGGCCGGCCCCTCATGTCTTCGCCGTTGAGTCACAAAGCCTGGAAGCCCTGGGCCTACCTCTGGAGTCTGGCTCTCCGAGGAGGAAGGCCTTACCATAGAACCCAGCGAGGAGGAAGCCTTTTCCTCTCAGAACAGAGCTGCCTGAGCAGAGGGACCTGGACCAAGCAACTTCGACTTCTCCAGGAGCTTTCTGACACTCCTCCATGGCTTGGGGATCAAAGATAGTCAGCCATCAGCCAGTCCTCTCCCTGATCTGCCTCCCTCAGCCTCTTGACTATTCTGAGGGGAAAGGCCACGCAGCACATCCCCACTCTGCAGCTTAGCAGCTGGGATGGTGTGGAGTTGAGGTTTTGGAGAAGCCCCACATTCTCTTTTGTGGGCAAATTGGTTTAGACAGCAGGAGACAGGAAGGAAACAGTTCCAGGAGGAAGCAGCGCTAATGTAGCATAGTCCAATAGAAAAGCCAGAGGTTAAGGCAATTATTTTGGAGTTGAAACCCAAATTGATAAACCAGGGTAGGTCCTGCCTACCTGTCCTTGTGCCTTCCTGAGCAGACTCACTCAGACAGAGGCAGTGGGCTATGAGCACTAAGAGCAGGTTGTAGACACTCGAGGGAGGCTATGAGGCACCTTCTGTCCTGCTCTGTGTTTCCTGTCAATTTCCTCCACTTTATGCAGGCCCCTTTGGTTAACCCTTTCCCCCCCCCCCCCATTGTTTGCTTCTGCCAAGCTGAGCCACCGAGGAGCCACACTGTGCTGCGGAAACATAGACGTGGGAGGCATGGGCTCCTCCCACCACCACCACCACCGCCGTCTCACCTGCAGCTGTGAAGACCCAGGCCCATCCTCTGCCTCCTTTCAGCCGCTTGGCCTGGGCTACAGAGAAGCACTCCAGGCCTCTAGCAAAGGAGACTGGAACTCCAGAGGGTCGAAAAGTGACTTGTTCAGAACACATTTTTTTTTAAATAGAAAAAAAAAATCTTTTTATAAAATGAACTTTTAACACTTGGCTCAAACCTCTAGGTCAAACTGCCAGTCTTTAGAAAAGTGGCCACAGGATCAGAGGACAGGAGAACTGAGATTGGTTAAAAGGCCAGTCTGTGGAGCCCTCTGTCCTCAAGATGGGATCTTGGTATAGCCCAATAGGGCTAAAGACGAGACAGTGGCCTATGGATGAGTTGAAAGGAGCAGGCTCAGGGTCTAAGTTAAGTAGATTGGTAAGAGTCTGCTTTTTAAATTCAACCAGGTTAGTTGCTGTTTTTTACAAACTGCTTAACTTCTTGTCCCTGTGGAGAGCTGAACGCAGGTTCTTCAGTAAAAACACAGCCTTAGAGGTACCTGGGCAAAAGCAAAGGCTTCCAGTCCATTCCTAAGGTTCCAAATGTGAAGGTCCAGTGGCCAAATGGAGATTAGCAAGCAGTTTTTGGTGCCGCGCCATCTGGGCACTGTCAGCTCTAGGCCTCTCCTCAGTCTCCCACCCATTGGTGGTCAGAGCACTGCCCTGGGCCAGCTGACCCACAAGCTCTCTGGTGATATACTCCCTGAGTTGTGTCACAGAGAAAAAGCAGCTTTGTTTTGGGCATTAAAATGGGTAGGTAGGCTAAGATTACTACTTGCCAATTTATTAAGATTTATGTAATCAGGTCTGTGTGATTCGGGCTCGTTTTGATTCTCTGAATTATTGGTTTGAGTGTTATATTTTCGGTTGCTGAGTCCATCCCTGAGTAGGTGTGGAAAAGGTGACAGTCCACTGACTCTCCTCTAGTATCACCTTGAGGGGGTCTAGTACCCAGTGCACCACTGCTGCTTGAACCTTCTTGCTGGCTTGCTTTGCTCTTAAAAGTGACTTGGTGGGTTATGTTCTTCCTCCTGGACTACAGTAGAAAGGATGGAACTAATTCCTGCTCCAGTGTTGAGAGGCAAAGCTAGGTCAGCTGCGTGTCTAGTACCTCCTAGGATAGGGAGCAGAGAGGAACACTTCCTTCCACGGGTATCTCGGCAGACCTCATGCATTACTGGCATGATTCATTCTGGTCCTGTGATGAATACTCCAGGCTTCAGCAACACTGCTCTTCCCAACAAAGGTGGTGAATTTTAATTTTTTGTTGGTGTGTATATGCAGAGAGTGTCCTTGGGCACATTCACAGCTTCTGTGCTTGGCTAGAAATCAATAGCGTGTCTTCCAGCTAACCTGAGGTAGGCCTTGTGGGTTTCCTGTCTCCTGAGCACCCAGCACAGTGGGATCTGGGATGCAGCCCCCCACTGCAGCAAAGGCAGTTGTCCTTCACTTCTTGGTACTAAACACAGACCTGGACTCCTTGAGGTTTTCTTTGATTTTCTGGTTCATTCTGGTCCTGTGAGGGTACCCAGGAATCAAATGCTACAGTGTTCAGCCCCTGCTTTCTGCCAAAAGCTGGTCAGGAGACCTAGAGGTCTTGAGCAGGTTGTGCTGCTTCTGCTGCACACCTGCACCGGTACCTTCTTCCTCCTAAGAAAGCCCAGCCACATTGAAGTCAGCCTCTGTTGGTGGGTGGTAGGTCCAAAAAGAAAGTTCTACAGACACTACGATGAGTTGCTTAAGCTGTCTTTGTTTTTAGATCATACTTAGGTGTTTCTTCCCCTTGAAGCTGCTATATCTTTATTTATTCAAGGTGTTTTCATATTGGGAAGCCTTGAGTCTGCTCTGGCTCTGGATTTTGTTTTGAAATTGGTTTATCTCTCACTATTTAAGAAAGGAAAGTGACTAGATCTTTATTTTCTACTCTTCCTACTTCCCCTTCCCTAAAAAGGTTATTGTAACTTTAAGAACAGGCTTCAAGTGGAAAAGCCCTATTTTTGCACTTCTCTAAGTGCAGGCCATGCAGTGTGGCAAACCCTATTGCTGCATTTCTGAATTGCAAAGGAGCCCATTGAGGTGGAGAACTTAAAATGGGTTTGGTACCTGTCCCTGGCCACAGGCTCCTTGCTTGTCTCCCTCTTTTGCTTGCCAGCACTCTGTACTGTCCCCTGACAGGCTCTACATTTGCAATGCTCCCATCTCTCCAGGACCGCTAGCATTACATACTAGGGGGAGTTCCTTCAGAAGCCTTGGATCTGAGCAGACAGCAGGCAGAATTGCAGTCATCATCAAGCCATTGGAAAACCAGAACTTGGTCTGGTTTTGAGATGCCCAGGCCAGTAGAATGCAGTTCACAAAAGTGTTTTGCTAATGATATGGCAATGAGACTGAGTTATAATAAAAATGTTATTTAATCTTTGTCTCTGTATTTTGATACTTGAATGACTTCCCCTTTTGTTTTACTGTACATATAATTGTTACTCTGTCTGATTTTGTCTGAATTATAAACACCTAAAGGTACCAAACATAACCAACCTGTTTGACGACATAGACTGACCTCACTACACAAGAGAGAGTGTAAATACTCCTGGGCTTCCAGCTTTGGTTTTGTTATTTTCATAACTGTACAACATAGACTGAATTAATAAATGAGAAGCAACATAAAACCAGCCTGATTTTTTGGAGTCTTTAAATTGGAACGTGTCTTGATTGTTTAGGCACAGGCTAGTTCTGGACGGTAATGAATGTCCTGCTCTGTTTGGCTAAGATGACAATTTGGGAATTCTGCTTCCTGTCTCAGACTCCTCAGTAGTTATGGTTAACCTTGCTTAGGTGCAAGGCCCCTGCTATTCACCTTCCTCTCCCTGAGGATGTCTTGGGAATATGTAACAAAGCAAGAGCCACACACATTCTAGTTACTGGCACATGTACTCTCCAGTGCATCCTGGTCTGGCTGTGTCAGTCCACAGACATTTATTGGACATCTGTGTACCAGGCAGCATTGGGGGCTAAAGCTGTGAGAGAAAATTGTCTCCTTTCAGGAACTTAGTTTGATAATGGAGGTTAAGTTTTTAAACAACTAGCTATGGTAGGCAGAGGGTGAAGTATCCCCAGAGGGCTGGTGGCAGGGAAAGGAGGAAGGGTGGTACTGAGCTGGACTATAAAGGGGAGAATTTAGAAAGGCACAGATGATAATAGTAGCCCTTTCATCAGTGGAGCACCAGGGTTCCAAACTCTTTTAGAATCTTCACAAGTAATGTCTCATCAGCCCCACACCTTTCTGGGCAGATGTTATCATCTCTATTCATAGAGAAGGGCCCAAGGCCAGCTAGAGGGACACTGGAGCCCATCTGATCCAGTGGATTCAGCTGCCAGAGCCCCTGTTCCTAGGGCTGCTTCCTAGCCCTGAACACTTCTATTCATGAATTTCTGTAATATCTTCCACTTTCTAAAAGGGCTTTAAAAAGAAAATCACTGATCTATTCCAACACCCCATTTTATTGGTGAAGAAAACAAGGCCTAGACAAGGAAAATTATTTTCTGTTAGTTAGCCAGCCAGCCAGCCAGCTAGCTAATGGCAGAAAAAAGACCAAAACCCAGTTTGTTACTCCCAACTAGGCTTCTTAGGCCATACTACATTCCAACCAGGAAAGCAGACTGCAGCCCAGTCATGGAGAGGCACTCCATGAAGGTGTTCGTCATCCTCACACCCTTTGTTCCCTGGCTTGGCATGCTTTCCTAGGCAGAAGAACCCTATTAGCCAGAAGAAAAAGGTCTGCTCTACAGGGTACCAGAATATATCACCACTATCATAATTGTTTGTGGTGCCACTTTACACAGGAACCTCTTACTCTGCTCAACAAGACTGCAGTGCTGCTGGTGCCCAGGCAGCCTGACAGATGGGGAGACACAGTTCATAGTGGGCACCTAGGCTTGCTATTCTCAGCCACAGGCACCACTACACCAGGCCACATGGAAACCAGAGTTAGAAGGAAGAAAATGGAAAGACTGGGAGTAGATGGGATGCATGCAACAGCACTACACCTGTCCACCTGTCTACCCATTACCATTCTCCATTTCCCCCAAATCTAGACAGTGGGTCTACGCACTGGTGGTCTCAAGACTTGGAGGTGGGGAGCAGTGCCGTGAGCCAGCACTGCCCTCTGCCCTTGCATCTCAGACTGGAGTGTGAGACCTCCCAGCCCTCTTCCATTTGCTCCTCTCTCCCTCCAGGAGCTCCCTGTCACACTCCCCCACATTTCAGGCCCCCCCTTTAGACATGTTCATGTGCCCCAGATAGATGGGGCATTTACTATAAGTTGAGATAGATCACCCTTAGCAGCGACCAGGCTACCAAGAATAAAGAACTTTGCAAACTAGAGCACCTTCCACAGCAGCTCCAAACACCCTCTAGTAAGGCATGGCCACCCCGGCTTCCTAAACCTTGACAATATCCAGGTCCCACCGAAGTCCCACAGACAGAGACAGGTAGACATTTTAGTATGACATGCAGTTCAGACTGTAGCTCACACAGCACCAGGTCCCATCAACAGCCAAGGAAAGTAGAGGTTTGAACTACCCTGGTCAGTGCAGCCTCTAGGCCTATGAAGCTGCTTTTTTTAAGACACAGCTATTAGGAACATTTATTAAAACAACATTCACCAAATAAGAATTTCCCTATCACCATAAAATCACCGTAAAATATTTATTACACACTAAATGGACCTGGGACAAGTGGGTAATCAAGGGGTGAGGGGGTGGAAGAAGATGTTCCTATTCCTACTTAGGCCAAAATAAAGTCTATATGGCTCATATATTTCAATGTAAAAACAAAAAGAAACCTCAAAGCTACTCGAAAGTATAAGAAAATGGGAGACATTTTTTCTCATAAGCGTGATATGAGAAAGGCCTTTCAAAACATGCTATAAAACTGAATCCTTTCTTTTTTGAAATAGAATTAACTCTACCACCTGGTCTAGAGTGCAATGGCATCATCATAGCCCACAGCAACCTCAATACATGTAATATTCAACAAGGACAAGTTGATAATAGCACCACTCCTGGGCTCAAGCCATCCTCTTAACTCAGCCTCCCAAGTAGCTGGGACTGCAAAGCATGTGCCATCTCACCAAGCTATGTTTTTTCTATTTTATGCAGAGATGGGGGGTCTCACTTTTGCTCAGGCTGGTCTCAGACACCTAGCTTCAAGGAATCCTCCTGCCTCAGCCTTCCAAAGTGTTAGGATTGTAAGTGTGAGTCACTGTGCCTGGCCTGTTTTGTTTTGTCTCCCTTTGTTGCCCTCGGTAGAGTGCCATGGCGTCATAGGTCACAGCAACCTCAAAATCTTGGGCTCAAGCAATTTTCTCACCTCAGCCTCCCAAGTAGCTGGGACTACCAGCACCTACCACAACACTCAGCTATTTTTACAGACGCAATCTCGCTCTGGCTCAGGCTGGTCTTGAACCTGTGAGCTCAGGCCATCCACCATGTCAGCCTCCCAGAGTGCTAGGATTACAGGCATGAACCAACACACCCAGTGCACCAGCCTGAAGACATTTTTTTTTAAAAGGATTAATAGACAAACCTATAATCTCTGCATAGCAAAATGTATCATTAAGGAAACAAAACCAAAGGCCAGTGCCAGTGGCTCACACCTGTAATCCTAGTACTCTGGGAGGCAGGCAAGATTGCTTGAACTCAGGAGTTCGAGACTAGCCTGAGCAAGAGCAAGACCCTTTCTCTACTAAAAATATAAAAAACTGGCTCGGCGCCTGTGGCTCAAGTGGCTAAGGCGCCAGCCACATACACTTAAGGTGGCGGGTTCGAACCCAGCCCAGGCCCGCCAAACAACAATGACGGCTGCAACCAAAAATTAGCCAGGGGTTGTGGCGGGCGCCTGTGGTCCCAGCTACTTGGGAGGTGGAGGCAGGAGACTCACTTGAGCCCAGGAGTTGGAGGTTGCTGTGAGCTGTGATGCCTCAGCACTCTACCCAGGGAGACAGCTTGAGGCTCTGTCTCCAAAACAAACAAACAAACAAACAAACAAAATATATATACACACACACACACACATATATATATATACTAGCTGGTAGGCACCTGTAACCCAGGAGTCAGAGGTTGCTATGAGTTGTAACACCACGCACTCTACCCAGGGCGACAGCTTGAGGCTCTGTCTCAAAAAAAAAAAAAAAAAAAAAAACTGGGCTCAAGCAATCTTACTGCCTCAGCCTCCAAAAAGCTCAGAGGACAGGCACCAACCACAATGCCCAGCTAAATTTTTCTTTTTAGTAGAGATGGGGGTTTTGCTCTTGCTCAGGCTGGTCTCAAACTCCTAAGTTCAACCATCCTCCTGCTTCAGCCTCCCAGAGTGCTAGGATTACAGGCATGAGCCACCACACCTGGCCCATGTACATGTTATTAATACATGTAATATTCAACAAGGACAAGTTGATAATAGCTATTAAAAATAAACTGGAACGTCTACATCCAGAAGATCAAGTAGATGTGTTTTTCCTATTAAGGACAAGGAAAGGGACAGCCTATCAAGACAGAAACTTTTAGACAACAACTGCTCTACTCTAGCCCAACACTACAGAAAATACTATGGCCCCATTCCGGCCCCCAGAGTCCAAGTGGGGAATCTAGACTTCTACTGTCACCAGGGGCTATAATGAGGTACCCCAACACTTTGCACTGGGATGACAGAGGAGGCTTAATGGAGAGCCATGTGTTCACCATCACCCAGTTGTAATGAAGCTACTCTCACCCTGACTCAGTAGAAATCATAGGGGAGCTGGCCTTCCACTCAGGTGTCATTGGAGGCCAGGTGAGGAAGCTGGACTTTGACCTCCCTCTGGCAATAATGAGATGATGTTTCTCTTTTCTTGCTATAATAGTATCAAAGTCAGCTAAAATAGAAGGTATAAATAAGATTGCATCTCAACACATGCAACAAAAATGTCCAAAAATGTGACTTTCAATAGAAAATCACTCATCATACCAAGAACGAGAAAAATTTCAACCGGTATTTAAAAGGTAATCAAAGATGTCAACACCAAGATGACAAACGTGTTAGAATTACATCTCTCCTGACAAAAATTTTAAAGCAGCCATGATAAAAACATTTCAGTAAACAATTATGAACACACTTGAAGCAAATGAAAAGACAGAAAATTGGGCAAAGAAAAGATATTAAGAATCTACTGGAGCTTGGCGCCTGTGGCTCAGGTGGCTAAGGCGCCAGCCACATACACCTAAGGTGGCGGGTTCGAATCCAGCCCGGGCCCACCAAACAACAATGACGGCTGCAACCAAAAAATAGCC